TTCCCTTCCCTTCCCTTCCCTTCCCTTCCCTTCCAACTGGATCTTATATGTCCCACCCTAGTCTGGAATTCACAGAATACCACCTGCCTCAAGTTTCTACCTTCTGAAGGTACAGGCAAACACACACCACCCTTCACATACAGGCTAAATGGTTTCATGGTTCAGTGTGGTGAACAAAAAGTCTTATAAATGCACAAATACATTAACCATAAAATATCCACTTATGCCGTCTGTACTTGGGCCCCTTCTCACTAAGACTGCACTAAACTGCTGAGGGCCACCATCTCCCAATTCCTGCTCCTGTTCTCAAACCATACTCCTGTATTCAATGTCCACTCTCTGTGAAGGGGGAGGGGTGGGTCTCCCTGGTCTCCATTCCTTCAGTTATGACTCTAGCAGTCCTGAGGACCAGGAGCCACAGTGTCCCATGTGTGAGAGGATGTGTGTCCCCTGGACCATAGGACAAACCACACTCTGCCTTGTACTTTATCTGAGCTGCTGGGGGACCCAGTGATGCCAGTCTATGATTCCAGTCTTGCCCTCTTGAAACACCCCAGATCCACAGGGCTTTAATAAACAATGGCCCATGGTCCACTGCCAAGCTATGGACCCATCCCGTCTTCCCTCATCTACCCCAAACTAATGGAATTCCATGCGTGATCTGGAATGGCTGTACCCATTTCTCCATGGTGGAATGGAAAGATGAGGACATTTAAGATCAAAAATGGCAGCTGTGAGTGTGGCTTAGCAGGGAAGGACTTGCCTAGTGTCTGACAGAGGGAGAGGGTGTGTGTGTGTGTGCCTGTGTCTCAGTGGCAGAGTGCTTACCCAGCATGCATGAGAAATGATACAAAAGAATCATCCTGAGTTGCCTCTGGCTTTGATATCAGAGCCAAGTAAACCACCAAGCTCGTCATCATGGCTAAGCAGTTCTCTTCTCTCAGGACCCATGTGCTTGCATTTGGATGGCATGTGTATGCAGTGTGAGGTGAGGGTGGCCTTTCAGTCCTGTCAGGGGATCGATCACCAGCTTCCCTGAGTCCTGCACAAGAGCCCTTCTTTCCCCCACTACCTGTGCTCAGTAACCTGCTCAAAGGCCGGTAAACCATCCTGAAATTTGACCTTCCCAAATGCCATATAGCCAGTGTGAACCAGACAGATCACCACAGATGAGGAGGGAGGTGGGCCACAGCTTGTCACAGAGCATTGTGAAGCAATCTGCAGACTTCTGTGAAAGTGTGCTCACAGACACACCCAGATGTGTGTTTCCATTTAGGGTCTGAGGCTAGGGAAGTTGGCCATGAAGATGAACCATTGTGGACCCTTTGAAGGAACCCTGAGGGTTGAATGGGGCTGAGGGCAGTGGCTGTCACAGCAGGTCCCTCCCCAAGTGACCAACTTGAATCCAGTTTCAGAGTTGGAACCACTGAGTGTAAATGAAGAGGCTTCCTGGAGAACAGAACCGTGTGGTACCATGGTGGATAGAGTAATGCTTTCCCTCAGTAGGCATAGACTACTTACTGAGTGGGTGGGCACTGGAGAGAAGGGAGCACCAGACTGTGGTGTGGCAGAATGTCAAAGCTGAAGACAGGGCTTGGAAACCCAAAGTGTCTGTTGTCAAGCCCTGTCACTTCCCTGCCCAGGAAGGATGGTAAATCAGCACCATGCAGCACCCTTAGGAAGAGCAGGGGTGAGCGCCTTGTTTAGGACAAAGGGCTCTTGTGCAGATCCAGTCTGGAGCAAGCATGGTGCTGCAAACATGGCAGTCAGATGCTCTGGTTTGGAAGTGTCAGCTGTGGACATCTTTCTCCCAGTGAGAGACCCTGCATCACTGTTGTCATAGAAACGATCCAGAAACCATGAGGCTCCTCCCTTAGGCTGCCCATTGCTTATTCCTGTGCCCTGCTGTTTACCTCCATGCTGTTTATCACTGGGGCAGTTCTCAGACCTCCACACGAGGTGTCATTCCATCAGAGAATGGGTGTTAGAGACAGGAGAAGGCTTTGGGAGCTGGTGGTCCTGCCCATCACCTTGAACTCTTAGTGAGCAGGTGTCCATGGGGTGAGTGCACACGTGAGTCGTTTGAGTGTGAGAAATGAACCACAAGTTCACAACTCTGATTGACACTGACTGATGTAATCATTCTCTCTCTCTCTCTCTCTCCCTCTCTCTCTCTTTCTCTCTCTATCTATCTCTCACTCTCCCCCTCTCCCTCTCCCTTTCCCTCTCTCTCTGTCTTTCTGTCTCTCTCTCTCTCTGTCTCTCTCTCTCGCTCTCTCTCTGTGTGTGTGTGTGTGTGTGTGTGTGTGTGTGTGTGTGTGTGTGTGT